TAGCAGGACGTTTTGCCTTTTTAGCCAACCACATCTTCACTGAGGTTCAAAATAATGTATCCACGATTCATCACCTGTATTTATTTCCGGCAAACGTCGTGCCTTGCATTTTTATAGATTTTAAGTATTTCTTAGACAATTCAACACTCAATCGTTTGCGTTTTTTTTTTTCTGTTAAAAGATGGGGTATCCGTCGCGCACTAACCTTTCGGAGGCCAAGGTGTTTGTTTAAAATTGTAAAAACTGTTCCAGATGAAATATCTACCAAATTTGCTGTCTGTTTAATAGTCAGTTGACCATCATTAATAATTATATGGGGTTTTTTTTTGCAAGTATTGCATTAGTAGAAGCCGTTTGAGCAAATTTAGGACGTTGCTTATCCTTCAGGTCTGTTTGGCCTTTTTTTGAATTTGCTCACACACCTGTAAACAAATCTTAATGACATACACTTCTTACTGTACACATCACATAATTCTTTGATGATGAAACGTGATCAGAAAAACGGCCATTAATAGATTATGAACTAAATCATGCGTAAAAAAATCCGAAGAATAATTGAACCCTGGGTTTCATGGAATCTGATTGATGACACTATTTATTGAACGCCCTCGTATTTCTTTCCTTATTTAGGAGATGAACTTAATTTTTGAAAATTCATGAGGACATGAACTACGACGCCTCACGCCTGCATATTTCATGAAGCGCGTTAGCTTCATGTGGGGGAGACTAAACATATAAGATTGATAAATATGTACCGTAACATTTTGATGTCATTTAAAATCTTTTACAGGTTTTTCTCTGTTTTAATTATCAGAATCTAACAAATTTACATCAACAGAAATCTCCAAAACGACAAAACTTTTAAAAAATTTGAAGCCAGGAATTGTTTCAAAATAGTTTTGGCAGAAAGTGTTGAATAGAGCATAGCTTTTGCCTATAAAACTGGGACTTACATGTACAAGATAAACTACGAGGGTTGTCCCAAAATTCCATAGACTGAGCTCAGATCTTTTAAAGAAATTTATGATTCTTTTTTAAATTTTCTGAGTGGATAAAGTTTGTTGTTGGTTGATAAATTACGAAGTTTTAAAATTATCTCTTAAGAACAGTAGTGCTATCGTTCCCTAAAACCCGGAGCAATCTCCGACGTCAAAAAAGAAAAACATTACCAGTTCAGATTTTTGGGGGAAATACACTAATTACAAGAATCAATTTCTTTAATTCATCATAAAGGTTATAGAAATAAATGTGAAATATCTTCATCATTATATGATTTAACATTAAAATATATGAACAAAGTATGTAAATGTACATGTATCAAATAATAATAATAATTTGAGAAACCTATGTTTCTATGGGTTTTTCGTCTGTCGTCTCTAATGGAGTTACACGGTGTCACTCCTGTCCAATTCTTTGGCCGGTCTCTTGTTTTTAGTTTCTCTTCTTTATATACTAAGAAAAACTGTTTCAGTCATTTTCATATACCAAGGACAAGAAAACATTGCCATGTGTACCAAATATCTATGACTTATGCGTTTCTGTAGGATTAAATTCAAGATCAGAACACTTGATTACAGCCTGTGTTAACGCAGCCGCCATTTTTCAACAAGTCAGATTTCAAAGCTGTGGATATAAAACGTTATAAAATTCATATTCATTAAAGCATATACACGAAAATATGAGGAAAGGTAGATAACAATATAACATTAAAATTTTTTATTTCGATTTCCGAAATACTGAGTAGTAACTACTTTTTCGTAGGATTTTAAATATAATATACCGATTTTTAATTGCAATTTTGGGGAACTGCGCCGCCATCTTAAACCCGACAATCAGATTGAAATATTTTATTCAAATTTGGTTAATCTGTGTAATTACTCCATGTTTGTCCTTAAATTTCTTAGTTCTGTTGTTGATCTATTTACAAAGTTTCATTAATTATGACACCGGGTTTCTACAAAACTACGTTTGTCTACGTAATTTTGGGACAACCCTCGTATGTGATCAATTACCCTGAATTACTATTATACTTTTAGACTTTACTTTAGTACTTTGAATTTCAAAAAAATTTGTCTTGAAAAAATTCATGGATATTAATATCTCCTAATAAATTAATGATGGATGACTTAGAAATAATGCTTACATAAACATGTTTCATCTTAACGTTGAAAAAGAAATAATTAAAAATTAAAATAAGTGATTATGATGTAGGAATCTTATTTACCGTAGTGACAACTTAAAAAAAAAATTGGCTTGTTGAAAAAACACTGTTCTACTATGAGAAAAACTAGTGATCTCTGATTAACAAAAACAAGACACCAGCTAACTTTCGTAGACTAAGACTACTACTATATTGATTATATGATTGACAGACGGGCACTCTATTACTTGAAATAAGCCAATAAATGTGTAAATGGATTATTTCCCCAATCTTAAGTAAAGTGTTTAGAATTATATTCTGATGCAGTTCCTACCATGTATTTAAACAATCAAATCATTTGAAAGATTGTTAGACGACATGCAATAAACAAAGAAATACACAATAACTGAAAAAGAAAACTTTTGTGTAAACTCACCATTTCTCAGCCTTCGATGTCACACCTCACATTGTTCTTTACATTTTTTTTCTCTGCACAATCTATACTCCTCCAAGAAGTCCAGATACCTTTAATATGCTAGATGGTTTTACTTTCAATAGCCTTAGAAAAGTACTGGGCAACATATATATGAATTAAAATTATTAAGCTTTTTGTCTGTTGTACTTTATCTAGGAATATAAAGACATGAACTTTATTGCTGAATTTTGAAGACACATATTAATACCTTGAGAAACGTCATTTAAGAATAGATAGGTAGACAGACAGACAGACAGACAGACAGATAGATAGATAGATAGATAGATAGATAGATAGATAGATAGATAGATAGATAGATAGATAGATAGATAGATAGATAGATAGATAGATAGATGGATGGATGGATGGATGGATGGATAGATAGATAGATAGATAGATAGATAGATAGATAGATAGATAGATAGACAACATTCTCGTTTGAAGTCAACATATTAACCGATATTGGTCAGAGAAGCTGAAACAGCAATGGCGACCCTGTCTCTAGATCGTAAATGATATCAAGGAAAATTTCACTGACATGTCGCCTAGAGGTCAATCAATGCTTTGGCACCCGTTCCATCACACTTCCGGTTGCCATATTTTATAGTACAATCTAGCAATAATCGTTTGGTATCTATTAAATTTCGTGTTTACCCAGAGAAGACATTTTTTACATTCCAAAATCTAGTTACAGTACTTTTCAACCAATAAAAGCAACAAATGTTGATTTATTTCATTTTTTGCATAACCGGTCATGTATTTCTGAGTTTTAATGAAAGCAAACATAAAGAATACATTTTCAAAAAATAGAAAGGTGTCAAACTTTTGAGCACAATTTCTATTAAATAGTTAGGCTTTGGTTATCATTTATTTATATACCAGTATGGGCATTCAAACATCTTACATTTAATCATAGTTACATATTTTATATATCGGATACGTCTTGAATAACTTTTGAAAAGTTAAAAATTATATTTCTATGATGGTGCAGTAGCAAATTTATCTAGTGTACACTTATATTGATTATACAAATACAAATATTTATTGGCACAAACACAATTACAATAATTGGCAAAGGTCCATTGAACATCATTAGATAATGTTTACAAAATTTATGCAGTATTAAGTAATTGACTTCTGTGTTCAAAACAGTCTCTAATAAATTTCACAGTAACTTTTAAGATATTATGTATATCACTGTTTACATATAATTGTAACATGTATCTTTCATTGTCCAGATTAATATTTTTCTTTGTTATATTATAAATTTTTCTAAGGTGTGTGTTTCTTAGCTTTGAATAAGAATTACAGTGAAAAAGAAAATGAATTTCATCCTCAATCACACCAGTATTACAAGCATTACAACATCTTTCCTTTCTTGATGTGGAAATATATCTACCACTTTCTATTGCAAGTTTATGTGCACTTAATCTAATTCTACTAAGAGAGGATCTCTCAGATCTTTTTCTGAGTAAATCAACATATGAACTTCTTTTTCTTGTGCATATTTTTTTATAGAATTCAATTTTTTCTGAACCAAAGATTTTTGACGTGCACTTGTCAATGATTCTTTGTTTTATGTTGAGTAAAAGGTGTTGAATGGAACTTTTATATTTTGGAATGATTGAAAATCCCAGATTATCTAGAGTAGAAAATAATTTCTTAGTCCAAGAATTGCACTTACTTGTGGATTGGTAAAGTTTAAAAGCCAAAGAATCAGAAGTTTTCAGGTGATTCCAATATTTTATACTGGAGAATGAAATTTTAGACCAAAGTGGTAGTCTCTTTAGTTCTGCTAGACAACCAGCATTGGATGTTTTGCAGTGCACTCCAAGGATATCTTTAATAAATTTTAAGTGAAATTTTTCTATTTTTGAAATATCTTTGAATGAGAGATCCACTCCCCATATTTCACTACAATAAAGAAGAACTGGAAGTACAATAGCATCAAGAAGTTTTTCTAAAAGCTTACATGGGTTATCAAAACCAATAATTCTTTTCATTTTAAAACATGCTTTTCTAGCTTTTTCAATAAGCACAGCTGTTGATAAATTAAACCTCCTATTACATTTCATCATAATACCTACATACCAGTATTTTGGTACAATTTGTATTGTATTACCATTAAACTAAATTCATTCCCTTGACGTTTGCCATTCGAGTTAAATATCATAACTTTAGATTTATCTACATTGACTTGCAGTTTTCAATTCGAACAATAGTTACTGAGAATATCAAGGCTGGTTTGTAAACCACTTCTGCTTTCAGAAAAGATTACAATATCATCAGCATATAACAGACAATTTACATGAATATTGTTTACTTGCACAGGATCACATTTCCATGTTTCAAGACACTGACGACACCATCATATTCTTATTTCAGTTTACGCTTCACACATTTCAAAAATACCTGGTTCGCATTTCCTTGGTAAAACGTGAAAAAGATGATGGGCTCTCCGTTGTTGAATTTCCTATTCAGGCCACAACTTTTATAGCAGTTACTGCTTACAACAACAAAGACGTGACTGTGATGAAGATTAACAGCAATCCGCATTCAAAAGGATTTCGTTTTCCAGTGAAAAGGTACCTTATTTATTGCTAAAATATCATTTGAATGAAGAAAGAAACAGAAAATCTAATCTGTAAAATTTTTCAAATTTTGATATTATTATTATTAAAACTCTTTATAAAAGTACAAATATTAATGAAAAAATAGGCATCAGAAAACAATATTAGTTTAGGTTTGTTCAGAAAAAAAATGAATTTAAATTTTAGACTAACAAAACAAGCCCTTGAACAAATTGATTCTAAAGCATTAAGAATGATGACACGTGAAGATTGCCGGAAAGGTTCAGTGAATAATCACATCAGGAAGGAGGGACCAACTTTTGCACAGTAGGTGCTCGTATTTTGAAAATTTATGCATTTCAACAATATATGGCCAACTCAGCAAAAAAGGAATACAAGAAGTAGTGTCAGGTGCCTAGAACTGTAAATTTTCATTTTTATTTATGTAGTACGTATATCCCAATGAACAATCAAACTAATTTCGTTGATAACCTCCCATTGTCAAAGATGGAGTTGTCGATGATGTCAAAAAGTCTGGTCTTTAATTTATAGTGGGAAATGGATGTATGAAGTGTTGAAAATATTATTACTAAGTGTTGAAAATGTGTCTACAAAATCTACCAATACAATAAAGGACCTTTTATCAATAACAATAGAGATCTAGAGAACCACGAAATCTCTTTAAAGAATAGCAAAAATGTTAAAAGATACATTAATGATGATTTCCTGGTACATAAATCAGCTTAATCGTTGACTTCATGCAAAAAGCCAAGAGACACCAAGAATAAGAAGTTTTTTCCCTTTCCTGTTTTTTTTTATGATGATGCCTGACTTTTAATCTTTATAGATCTCCACTAGATTTATCCGCCAATAAAGACAGTCGTCAATCAAGTGAGTCACAAAGAAAACAAATCATTAATAAGCCTACTGTTATAAAAAATCATGTTAATTTACTGTCATTCAATAAATTAGTAATGCAAAAAAAAATGACAAGACTCCATTCATGTCACTATTTTGCTTAATAAAATACATTCGAGATTTTATTGTGGACTTTATTTTATCATGGACTATATTTTATCATGGACTATATTTTATATTTTATTACAGATCATGATTCAGACTCTGAAGGCAGTGCTGCAAATGATAAGCAAATACAAACAGATGTTACAATGGCAGACATGGATTTTCACTTCTACTTACCTACATGTAAGCAGAACTATCGCTATATCAAATCGGATTTGATAGTCATGCTTTGTAACAGAAACTAATCATTGAAATCAAATCCAATATCCCCTTTTCAGATTTAAATAATACAGGAACATATGAGATTAAAAAAAATAATAATAATAAACCATTCTAAGTAACAATCAATATATCGTATAAGTGGAATTTTTAGCGAGCCGCAAAATTAGGGATTTATCCCCCCAAAACGGGTATATATTTTTAGCGAGAAGTAATTTTAGCGATTTTATAATGTCAAGACAGATATCTGTAACAACTGATATGGAATGAATTTTTAGCGGTATTCAATTTTAGCGATCTCAAAACCCTCGCTAATAATGCTAAAATCAAATACTCACTAAAATTTTGTTTATACGGTATTGAAAGGAAAGGTTATTCATTATAAATTATTCAATATATAAATGAAAAGCATAAAAGTTGGGTAAATTGTTATGCAAAATGCATTATTTTAACATTAGTCTTTTGTTTAAGATTCTAATCCAGAGAGACACATTGAGAGGATTAGACCCTGTTTTTGCCACATTTTTGGACATTTCCCCAGAGGTTTGTGGGAGCCAGGTAAAGGAATATTTATAGATAAACCATTATTTTTCCTTATTCTCCTAAATTTGAGAAAAAGATATCATGTATTGTTCATTGATAATTTTTATATACGTCCATCTCTTCCTTTTGTTGAAGAAATGTGCTCAAGTCATATCATACAAAATAATAATAATCTACATTTTGTGTATCTGTGTTGTTTGATTCAGAGGGTACTTATACATACTTTGGTCAGGTTACTATTCTTCTGGAGGTCTCTCTGGAAGCTAGAGCATCCCATCTCCATACGATTCCACTTTATATGTATTTGTAAAATGAATTTATATGTTTATTGAGGGAAAATATATATAAAATATGTACGGCAGATCTGCAATCAGTCAACGTGACATGTGAGCATCTCCATAAATTGAGGATTCGTTTTGATATGAATTATGACTCCGACCCCAATTCCTGGGGTCTGTTCCCAATAGTGGATCAAGGTTTATATATAAGCCATATATAGAATCATATTTCTCAAGAAAAGGACAATGATTGGTCATAAATAGAATTAATTCTGCTGTCAAGGGACACTGGTAACCAAAATCCGAAATCTAAACTGTATATGAAAGTAGGAATATTTTCAGAGGATGAGGTTACACATTTTATTTGTTGCTGAGAGCAACTAAGTAGCCAATAAATGTCAGCTGCGTTTCTATGGTCATTCGCTGTCCATCCCGTTTATTCTTTTAAAATTGTAAGGTGAAACAATTACTTTACAAACATTTCATTTTTATTTTAATGATGTTGATACTGTTAAATACGGTTATAGCTACAAAAAAAAATGTTTCGCAAAAAACGTAATTCATTTATACATGTATCTGATAAATGAGCATGATAATAATGATATAAGCATGATCAGTGTAACCGAGTGTTGCTGTATCTCAATTCAATTCGGAGCTTTAAATTACTAGAAGTAATATTGCTTAAAGAGTATATTTCTCTCTTTTTTTAAATAGTGACTGTGACGGAATTTGATACTTTGTACCATGTTGGTTCCTTCGAAACAATTTTATTAATCTGGCATTCCTCCATTACCATTTGATTATTAAGTGAAATAATACCACGTCAGGAATTTTAAAGCAATCACATCGGGACAATATGAGCAATTCTCTATATCTGTGGAGAAACTGAATCATGTGCTTTTGTTTACATTCCATTTCCAAGCGATTTAAATGTCTCCGCCTATTTGCGAGTACCTTAAATTCAAAAATGGTCCAGTTCAAATTTCCGGAATTCAAGGCAAGCCTTATACATGTTCTTTTTCCATGACGTTGTCTTTGAGTATAAAAATATGTATGAAAAAAAATCAAGGCATAAATATCAAAAGTAAACATATGCATCTACAATAATCATAGATTAATGTAGCGATATATTGTATTTTAAAGCTTAAAATGGATAGCCGGAAAGGTTCCAAATGACATACTAAAGTGCAGTCATTCTTTATCGAAACTTCTATTTTATAATCACATGTTTTATAAAAAATGAACTATAATGAACAACAATGTTTGTTAAAGACAAGAAAATATTCAACATACCCCATAGAAACGTCAAATTTTATCGATATCATGCTGCAATATTTAATCCCTTCCCTAACAATTGTCTGCATAACATGGTCTAGCAGATAAGTTGTTGATGCTAGGTTTGACCGTGCATGAAAGTCTAGTCACTTTCTACATTGCCTAAATTATATTATACTATAAACATATTATTTACATTTAATCAATACGTAACACGTCTACACAATATGCATGACAATCCTGAGTAAGCATTATTTGGTCCTTCTGTCTGTCTGTCTGTTCGTATGTCATTCAAAAATCTTTAACGAGGTTGGATCCTGATATTTAGAGTCAAACTTCTTTGTCAAGTATATTTTTAGTTTGTACACACATAGCTTAATTAAAAATCAAAACAAAATGGGGGTCAATATGCTTTTTTTGGCGCTACAGTACATTTAATATGACCTTTTTGCACTGAAATTTGTGTCTTAATCAAAAATCACATCTTCGACATTTTCCCTCTAATGTTTTTATCCAAATAAATCATGGGACAGAATAAACTATTAGTCTATTTAAAAAAAAGACACATTAAAATTGTTACTAAGAAAGAGTTTCAAATTGCTTTGCATAATCATTTATTTGACATTTCTGCACTCATAAAATGTGATTTTTCTGGCATTAAAAATTTAACAAGCAAGAAAATTATCTTAAAGTCTTAAACTTTTGCTGATTTAAGCAGATTTATCAAAGCTATCTTACACATTCAGAAAAGAAAATCAAAAGTGGAGGTCAATGATGTAAATTTTTAGATATTGCTAAAACGGTGTTAATTTTATGTTAAAATATGTTCAATTTTTTCCTGGACTTTCAGAATATATTTACTATATTTGTCACAATATGATGCAAGAATTCATGAGAAATAATTTAATAGACACTTCAGAACCAGCATAAAACATTTGACTGTAAAAAAAACAGCTCTGTGTGCAACCAGCATGGAAAAATGGGAATCTAACCTTAAAAGTAGTGTATATATCTCAAAAGGGAAAAATTGATCAAAATTTCTTCTTAAAAAAAAACCTTTCGCCACAAAATATAGTTCTTGGCTTAATCCTATCTGAATGGATTTTAATCGCGTTTTTTTTTTTTTTTTTTTCATTGGATAAAGTTTGATTTGCATTGTAGAATCCAGATTTAATGTTAGAACTTAAAAATGATAAAGAATTTTAGAAATAAAGGTCCAAACCAAAATCTGCTCAAAAGCTCAGGATCGAATCTCCTAAACCGAAGTCATAACTTTTGAATGAAAGACGATATGGCTTCCATATTTCACAGATATATTTCAAGTGACGAGACCTTTCAGAATGTTCAACGACTTTTGACTTCTTGACCTTGGAGTTTGATCTACTTTTTAAAAGCAATGAACTTCCTCAATAACTTTTAAGTGAGAAAAGATAGTGCTTTTGTATTTCACATTTGCATTACCTATGATAAAACCTTTCCCAATATGCTTTCAATTTTGACCGTATGACCACGACCTTGAAATTTGACCTACTTTTCAAAACATTTAACCGTAGTAACTTTTAAATGAGAATGGATAAGGCTTTTCATATTTCACATGTGCATTATCTATGAGAAGGCTTTCTCGAATATACTGAAATTTTTGAACTCATAACCCTGACTTTGAAGAATGACCTTCTTTTCAAAAATTTTAACTATATTAATGGATGTAACTTTTGGTTGAAAGAAGATAGGGCTTTTATATTTCTTGTGTGCATTACCGGTTTAAGACCTTTCTGAATGCACTGTTGTTTTTGACCTTGAAGTTTGATCCTCTTTTCATATTTTTTAACCTTGGCCGTAGATTTTGTATCTGAAGAGACAGAACTTTTGTATTTTTACTTGTGCGTTACCTGTGTTAAGATTTTTCCAAATGTACTATATTTTTACTTCATGACCTTAAAACTGTTCAAAAAGATTAACTTGGCTGTAATATTTGCACCAGGAAATATTACTTCAAAAATATATAACATTTATAGCATGATGAACAGAAAAGATAGCAGAGACAAGATAGTTACATTATTCCAACAGATTCAGTGCACCCAAACAATAAGACAGAAAGCGGGGGATCATAAATATCTGAATTTGCATGTTCTTGAAATATTACAACTTCCAGTTAAAAGTTTATAAAAAAAAAATAATAGTCAACATATTTGTCAAATATGTTATAAAAGGTGCAACTAACATCAAGTTATACATGTACCAACTTATCATAATTTGTATCTACAAAAAAAATTTCTTTCGGCATGTCAACGTCAAGAAGACTACGTCATCGATTTCAGAAATTTATCAATTTTATTGTTTTATGTATTGCATTCTCTCTACATACAAAACGATATACAAAATGTAGCTAAAAAACGTTGAGGAGCTGATAAGCATTTACACAAACAAATCGTCATTTTTCCTTGCTTCAGCAAACATATATGATATAGTTTAATTAAAGATCGGAATTATTTTAAACATTTTAAAACAAAGATTGATAAGGAGATTACATCAGGCAGAATATTGGGGCCATTTTTACATCTTCCAATATCAAACTCATAGGTCTAGTCCCTAAGAAGCAGGGCGATTGGCGGATGATTACTAATCTATCATACCCCCCCCCCCCAGGATGCAGTTTTAATGACTTCATAGATCCTGATATTTGCTCAGTAAATTATTCAACTTTTGATGATGCAATAGCATTGATTGTTTCCAAGGGCCAAGGTGCATTACTAGCAAAAATGGATATTTCAAGTGCATTTAGCCTTTTACCTGTTTCCCAAAAGGATTTTTGTTTGTTGGGTTTCAGACACTCTGGGGCATATTATATTGATAAGTGCTTGCCAATGGGGGTGTTCATTATCTTGTGCATTATTTGAGAAATTTTCTACATGATATAGTTTTATTAAAGATCGGAATTATTTTAAACATTCCTTTTTACTTCTCTTTGACATTTTCACGGTGTGAAAATGACAGCTATAGTAATACCAATTGTTATTCAATAGATAAATTACAGTTTTCTGCAGTTGAAAATGTAATTAAATACAATTCTTCTTTACAGCAAGACAAACTGAAAATGAAAAGAAAGTATTGTGCACAGTGGATGACCGTGAACGAGAGAAACTGGAGGAGAGACGGATGGAATACAATGCCAGAATAGAGAGTACGTTAAGACAGTAATTAGATGTAGGTGTTGTTGAAAGTCAAAGAATATAGATAAGCAATTTTGTTTTACCTTTTGCTTAAATATTCAATGTCCTGTTGTCCACATCATGGTCTAATCATTGAAAAAAAAATGGATAGATATATGACACTTTTTGGTTTTTGTTTGTTTGCTTGTTGTTTAACTTCCCTCTCGAGAATTTTTCACTCATATGGAGACGCCACAACTTGCCGGTGGAGGGCTACCTACGAGGGGTGATCAAAAAGTTCGCGAACTAATTGAATAACTTCCTTAAAAGAAATAAAATGAGGTTTCAGTGTTCATTATTTTTTAAAGTTGTCCTCTCCGATTTTAATGCATATCTGCCATTATTCTGCCCATGCGCGAATCACGTGATCCAGGCGGTCACGTAACATGCTTCATAGCTGTCTGTTCACAGAAGCTAAGAGATTTTTCCGAGTCTTATATTTCTTACCATGCAAATAATTTTTTACAGCAATAACAGACCATCTGTCAGAAAGGGCCAATGTGGAGAGTATGGGCGCCTTTTCTTTTTTTCATATCTCATATGTTTAAAGTCTAAAGTAAACGATATTTTAGGGATTTAATAATTTTATTGTTGCTGAGATATTCAACTATTTTTCTTACTGTAACTTGGCGATCTTTCAAAACAAATTGCTCAACTAAGGACACATCTTTTTACCGGCTTGCTTTCGCTGGTCAACAGAACAAACATCATTTTTAACCATCTCCCTGCCTTCATTAAAACATTCAATCCAATTAATGATTGAACTTCTGGTAAGTCTTTTGTCTTCATAAGCCTTATACAAATTATCATATTCTACTGCACAGGAATTTCCAAGATATACGTTAAACTTTACAGCCGTTCATTGCTCGAGTACGACCGAGTCAACCATTTTTTGTCACAAGTGACCTACATACTGACGTCATTTTCACATTGTGACGTCACAAACACGGAGGAAAACATTATTTAATATCTGCTATTTGTAGAACATGTGTATGACTATATGTGTGCCAAAAATCATTCTGATCTGAATTGTGATTTTTTAAATATAGAGATAGTTCGCGAACTTTATGATCACCCCTCGTATACTCGCAACTCATGGCCATTGAGTAGTAAGGGATCTTTTTCGTTCCAGCAACTACTGGGACATGGGACCTTGCTTTATACGGTCTCATCCGAAGGACTAGTCTCCACGTCCCACAGTGTGATTCAAACTCGCGACGTAAGGATCAACTCCTTACTACGCGACTCTAGATCAAACGCTCTAACCACTGCGCCACGCGGGTGACACACTATTTCGTGATATGAAGTTCTAGACAATACCAATCGTAAGATATATATCTGCATTTGTAAATATTATATGTATAGAAATTATTTCGTCAGATGACGACAAAGTCATTGTTAAGTCATAAACGGTCGACGTAATTTCACATCGACATCATGAGTGGTGGATATGTTCAATGGTAATAAATAATAATAAGCGAATATTTTTTGTAAATCAGTCACAAATGTAAATATGAAAAATATAAAGTATCAGTTTAAAACATCTATCGGGGTAAAATAATATAAACAAGGATTAGTAGGTGATCAAGCCTACTGTAAAGTGCTTCGGGTTTAATGAGATTTTATAACGTGACCAACCCTTATTTATTTAAAGAATGAATTTAATAGCTACCCTTGTAAAAACTGTTTAACTTAGGATGGGGCTGTTAACACTTTATAAACCGCGAAGCAGTAAAAAGCGTACTGTGTTGCAATTGAAGTTCTGCAGGGATAATTGGATAGCAATAAATTTATTCCCTATAATTCAATTTTCTTTATTAAGTAAAAATAAACAAGAATTCTGAGAGTATTGCATTAGCAATACTAGTCCCCTACCGGCAAGTGTAATCTGGTTCCTGTTAAAAATTGAAAATGCAATGATTCCGTCAAAAATTAGTGAAGCGGAACGAAATGCATACTTGATCTATAACTCATCAAGGTAAAGTCAAATACCAAAAATCAGCTCAACATTTGTGTTTAGTGTTTAGAAAAGAAATTGCGGAAAACCCTGAAAATTGGAAAGGTTGTAATTCCGTCAAAAATCATTCAAGCGGAACGAAATGCAAACTTGACCTGTAACTCATCAAGATACACTCACAGACCAAACATCGGCTCAATATCTGCAAGCGTTTAGACAAAAAAGTGCGGAAAACCAAGTGGGACAGACTGACAGACATAGGGACAGCTAGTAGTGCAGTGACAAACCTAGAAAAAGACGCTTATTTTTCGAGTTTAATGCACCGACTTACGGCTGAAAGTTATCTATACTTATAAATTAATAAATTTTGCAAATAAACTCCGAAACGGGTGCACCAGAGTTCTTACTTACTCCTCTAAGAATACGCACGATACAAGATGATGTCCGTAAACTATATTTAGATTTCACTTGCATTGCAAGTATCGTACATTAAATTAAAAGTCTACTTTTATTTTCTATAAACAGCCATGAAATAGCAAAAACGTGAGTACGGTGGCGTTTCCGGTTGGCGGATCTAAGTTACTGGCAATTTTTAATGAAACTGACAACAAGCAATCGTTTATTTATTTCATTAAACGTCATTACTGAATTATTCAATCAAAACTTGATTGAAATAAGTTGTGATAACCGATTAAAAAGGAAAATGTGCAAATTATTTTCGCCATTCACCGATCGTAATATTGAAGGAAGCTTCTAGAACATCATATAGCATCGAGCCCGATGTTAAAAAGAAAAACGAGGCGATTATAGCTGCTTTACATAAAAAAAAAAGTTTTTGTGTGAATGGTCATTGAAATAATGGTAAATCATTGATAACACTGTAAGTTGTGAATATATTCATATATCGAAAGACTATAACATATATGTAGTAGGTTTTCCTAATAAATTTATCTGTAAAATTTGTATATATATATTCCTCACTGAGAGCATCGTGGCAACGATCCCGAAGTACAATTTGTGCTTCGTAATAAACTTGCTTACATGAAAAGAGAATATTAATGAATAAGGCATTATTCAAATACAATTATGCTGTAAAATTTTGTGCTTTAATAATCAATACATTTAAGTTTTTCCTGAATAAGTCTTTTGTATCAAATACTCGGCCTATTCCAGTGGCAGATCCAGGAATCTTGAGAAGGGGGGGACCAGTTTGGGGTTGGGGTAGGGGCCCACGGACGCACCAAAAAAATTGATTTATTAAATTTTATGTATATTTTGGACACAAAACGGGAGGGGGGCTGGGCCCCCTCTCTAAATTCGCCAGTATATTCATAGGGCGTTATATAATACCTAATTTTTACACAAAAAAAATCTATTTCTCAGCAAAATGTGCATATTTACCGCTTTTTTTTCTTGACGGAAATGAATAAGAGCATCTGAAGTACAATATTAACATAGTATATACAATATCCATAACATATTATATAACAGGTTTCACAATAAACGTCAATTAATGATATTGTTATTTAAGTTTTACAAAGGGGGGGGGGGGGGTTAGAGACGTACTTCTACTTCATGCGGGATTTTGAACAAAGTATTTCTTCCTGCTATAAGCCTGTAGGCTGTCAGTAGAAACTACAATATATATATTATTAGATTTTTTCTGTCGGTAGTGGTATAAATTCAATTCCCCGCGCTTGCGCGGGATTTCATCTAGTGTTTTATGAAAGAGACATCTCTTCTCATGCATTTTCGCCCGATCGTAGAGTTTTCTCGAGTCAAACTTTTTTTAATTGGGAATAAAAGTGAAAATGGGGGGGGGGGGGGCGGCTAGTATATTTTGTCTGCGGATATTATTCTTCACAAGTTAACATCTGAATTACATGAAAAAGTAAATCTTTGTACGTGATAGGATACTTATAGCTATCTAAGTTAATATTGTCCAATTAATTATGAATATTATTGTTTGTTTGTTTGTTTGTTTGTTTTTAAGAGACTGTGTGTTTCAACAAAATACATTCCACGTAGTTACATAATGTAAAAAATTACGAATATTTACCTAAATATTTTAAAGATAATTATTCAAACGATATTTTACGATCAAATTAGACCTAAGAATTTCTTCACACTAAGTATTTTTTTCTCCTTGATCTGAAATTTTAAACGTTTATTGTAACTGGAAACGAATTATTTAGAATCCCAGCACCACCTGTGATAATGGCACCGATTGATTGCAGATCAAACTATTGTTAAACACCTCTCTTAATCAAAAAAGGCTAAAAAGTTTCATTTATTCACCTTAAAGTTTAAAAAGACAAAAATCAAATCCAAATGTACTCTCGAACGAAAGCACTCAATATCCAGAGAAAACATGCGAGTTTTGACAAACTTTCAAATTTTCTCCTTAAGACACCAAATGAAGTCTGGATTTCAATCAATAAGCATTTGAATGTAATTATTCTGTTTTATTTTCAATTAAAGAAGACGTAAAGGTCAAGCATGATACTTTCATTTCATGTTTCTATTTTAACAGTGTCTTGCATGATTAGAGATTGCTTTTCTTCATCGTAAGCAGTGCAAATGCGATGCTAAGTTGTATGAAATAGAAAGAGAAGAACGATATAAAGTGTTATTGACACATACCTAAAATATGTAGGAAATATTTGAGCATATCATTGGAAGGACTATATATCATAAAGATAATGCATCACTTACTTTACTTCCTCTTGAAAAGTGGTTATTTTACGCTTCCATCGGAATCGGGGTTTCCCAGTATCCATCTTTTATTCTGAATCCTCCTATACAACTGAATAAAATTTTATTAGATTTTCACATATTTAATCTTTATTTTAAAACGTTGTGTTGTGCACTTTTAATTTTACGTCTTGATAGAAAGATATTTGGGATTTCTTACATCAAAACATGGAGTTTGCTATTATTCTTGTCAAAGGGGGTATCCATTTTGTTAACGCAGTTCCTTCTCAAACCCCGAATGAATATCGATGATATTTTTAAAGAATCGCCTTCGACCGTACGAAAACTCCTATTAGAACGGGAGTATCATTTTGTGAGCTCAATCAAGTTTCTATTCTGCTTTTCAAATGAAACATATCCTTGTAAAGTCATGTAGTAGTGAACAAGATAGAGAAATTACAGCTCTAACAAATGCATACCGTCAATAATATAAAAAAATGCTTTCTTTGTCCCGTTTCATAGAATTGCTACTACAGGTATATCACCGATACAAGTCCAAAATCTTTCTGCTCCTAAATCCTCACAACCGAGTATATAACAGGCAAAATTTACGAGTTAACGCTTATTCGAAATCTCATCAGATTATCATAATCAAAAATCAGTAATATATATATATATATTTTTTTTTGGCAAATTGTAAGAGGGAGACAAAAAATATCAAGAGTTTTAGTACTCGGTTGGCTCTTGTCTGAACAGGTGTGGCCCCTAAAAGGCCGCCATATGCGCCGACATACACCTGTATATTTTGAAGTATAAGAACCCTTGATAAAACTTTCATATTCATAAAGTTGTTTAACGAATGTATAATTATAAACGAAACAAAAAATGTTAATTATTATGCTTTAACGTGTATGACGTCATATAGATGATTATAATATGCTTCAGGAACAGAAAAAGTCTTTTTAGAGTTCAATATATTCAAAATTATTGATGTTTGAATAAAAATTTCACTTCAAAGCAAGAAAACTAAAAATATAGTCATATTTCGAATTTTGGGGGTTGGGGTGAAAAGCGGGGGGGGGGGGGGGGTATTGTCCTTTTTTGATTTTTTAATTACTGTTTACAAATGCACCTGATTGTACTTAATGAACAAAAAACCTGTGCATCAGCACTGAATTAAATCTACTCCAAGACAACTAATTTTACGGAAAAACAGACAGACGTTATAGTTCAAATTTTCCTTCTTTTTTTTATGAAATCGATATTATCACTGTAAAAATCAATTTTCCATACAAATTTATTGCAAAATCCGAGAAAATTTATGAATTCCTTAAGCTTTTTTAAAATTTTCATTATCATGGTCAGACTTCAATCATTGATCTTTAACCTCCTATTATTTTAAATTTTGACCATAGACTTTTCTACGACCGGACGAAAAAAATTGCTTAATAATATACCTTTCCAAAAAAGTACAAATTAGCAGTAGGGTAGGGTGGTGCATTAATTTCAAAATTTTGATGGTCTTGTCACTCCACTATAGACGGACGGACAGACTCAGAGGAAACCTATAGTCCCCTCCGGTTTCACCGACTGAGGACTAATAAAACAAAATCAGTTCAAAAATGACCAAGTTGTACTAAATTTGAGTTTAACGTCAAGCGGATTGATCCGTATTTGACGTAGATCAACACAGATTTTACGCAATAAACTAAATTGTCAATCAAATGACGTGTTACAAACAGAATTAATTTAGAAACGAATAGATGTTTAAGTATGACACCTTACTCCTTAATTATTTTAATTGTTAGTCTTCAGTAATAGAAGTGAAAAGTATGTACTCTTCACATATTTGATTTAAAATGTAAAATTTTAAATCAGCAATCAAGTCAACTGTAAATGACATCCTTAAATTCATTTAAGGCACATGAGCACTAAATGAATCAAATTTTATAGGCAGTAAATTTCAACAGTGACGTACATAAATACCGTAACTTGAATGCACGAGATCCTTATCAGAATTCTGGGGGAACATATAAATCCTTAAAAATAAAATATAGAAGTTTTTTTTCAATTTGTTTTACAAAACATACGTCATGTATGCCATAATTTCTCTTAATGAGCATTGTTCAAACCAAATAGAATTTCTTTTAATCATTTACAAAACAAAGTAAAAAAGGGAACTTAATGTTATACTAATTAATTAGTCATCTTTTCTTTAATCTTTCCTTTCCTTTATTATCATCATCTTAAACATAGCCATCCGCCAAAAGAACTGAGCTTTGGAAAGTAGTTCCCTCACAATCATAAAAATACATACAAATTCAGTAGCGTTATGTATGCAAAGTGTTATATACGAATAAGTTATCATCCAATTTTTCCTCTAATTTTATTCTCAAACAAAACTATCATTTATTATTTCTATAGATTTTAAGTTGATAAAATTATTTTTTTAATGTATCGTCTCTCACTATGACTGTTTTGTGCATCGAAAGCTTCTGTCTTGGCGCTGTTTAGCTTTTTTTTCTGTTGTGTAATTTAAAGTAAGAAGGCGATTGGTGTGTGTATAGCCAGGAGTTTGCATTTAGCTAAGCCCGGCCAAAATGAAATAATGGAAAGGAATAATGACTTTTAAAACACGTAATATAGCACGGTTCATAAGGTCAAGGACTCATAGTTTATTGACACCATACAATTTGCTTTCTAAATGTCCATGTTTAACTTAGTTTTTTAAAAGGAATATGAATTTTCAATCTGTGACCAACATAGCTCCAACTCAGGGTATGTATCCATGGGCCAACCCAGGATAGGTACCTCGGTAACATGCATTTCATAATTTTGTAAGAGTTTTAGACATTAATTGAAATCATCTACACAGTTTATCAATTAGAGTATCATGAGTAAAGACTTTCAAAGATGTATTTTCAACACAAAACCAACTTATATTCATTAGACTCACCCTGGGGATCTACACTCTTGATCTGTGAGACAGCAATCAAACAAACAGAGAAATGTCTTATTCCTCATTATGATACTGTAAACCAACTTTTATTCTCGAGCGAGAGATATACGCGAGTTTCGCGACCTTCTCTTACTCGCGAATATTTCTCGTCGCGAATCAATTATTCATCTACGTATTTTGTACAATGTTGCCTCGATCGCAAAAATTAGTAGTCGCAGATAGATTCCAAACTGAAGAATCGCGAATAAAAGATGTCGCGAATAATAGTTGGTTTACAGTAGTTTACAATTCGCAGCTACATGTATATGTCGAGGAAAAAGATGTTCCGAGCTATAATATATGTCGCCGTACATATTTTTGAAAAGTTGAAATAATACTTTTTGAAAAGAATAATAATCACATCTTCTGAAAGGCATACTAACATTTTTGGCGCAATTAAACCTTTTCAATTTTCCTTTTTAAAGTTTTAGCCAAATAGCTATCGTACCCTATATTAGTACATTGTACATAAGTATTTAATAATAAAATTTTAAATTTTAAAACTTATCAAGCATTAAGAGTAATATCTTTTTTTCTTTCTCAACAGTGTGGAGAAGAGATACAGAAAACCCATGTTGTGACAGTCTATCAGAGATGTCATAAGTATAAACAAATCGAACTTTTGTGTCTTGATGTGTCTATCTTCATATGTTCTGTCAATCTTGGAAGCTGCAATTCACTACTATGTCTGTGTGTATGTATGTTGAGGTGGGGTGGGCGTAAGGTCTTAGTATCAGAGTCAACCACCGTGAAGGAGAAGGTTATTAGATCTCTATCCCACAGCCAATCTCTCTCAAGGAGAAGGTGATGAGATCTTTATCCCACAGCTGTTCATTTTCAAAGAGAAGGTGATGAGTTCTTAATCCCACAGCTGATCACTTTCATAGAGATGTTGATGATGTCTTTATCCCAAAGCTGATCACTTTGAAGAAGAAGGTGATGAGGTCTTTATCCCACAGCTGATCACTTTCAAGAAGAAGGTGTTGAGTTCTTTATCCCACGCCCAATCTCTCTCAAGGAGAAGGTGATGAGGACTTTATACCACAGCTGATCACTTTCATGGAGAAGGTGTCGAGGTCTTTATCCCACAGCTGATCACTTTCAGAGAGAAGGTGATGAGGTCTTTATCCCACAGCTGTTCACTCTCAAAGAGAAGTTGGTCTTTATCCCACAGGCGATCACTTTCAAGGAGAAGGTGATGAGATCTTTCTCCCACAGCCGATCATCTGAAGCAGATGATGATGAGATCTTTATCCCACAGCCGATCACTTTCATGGAGAAGGTGATGAGATTATTTGTTTGAGTCTCCTCATCAGATTTTCAATAATAAAACTGATTGATTTTATTATTTACTACTTATTAAAACGATTTATTTTGCAAAATTACATAATTTACTTTTTTATTTGTTAGCAAAGAATTATATATACTTGTATATATGTATGAAATTGTATTTCGTTTGTGACATATTAGGTGGAAAACCTAAAACATACAGGAGCAATAATTTCAAAATTAATCTTTTTTGTCGTACATGTACAGATTACTAGTACATTTAATGTAAAACCTTCAGACAATCAGAGAGTTACTTCCTTAATGTTAATTGATGTATGCTTCAAACAGAATGATTTGAGATTTCCACATGCCAAATTGATATAAGTGAAAAGGGATAAAGACGACTTGTAGCCATTGTTATACTCAGTAAACCCTGTAAATGATACGAAAAGTGAAAAGGGTAAAACAACGGACCTCTGAAACACCAGAAGTGGGATTAGGTGCTTAAGAGAAGTGATCACCCCCTCGACCGACCACATCCACCTTGACCCATCTGATCAGTGACCGGTCGTAAGGTGGTGCTTACTTCTCCTAGGAACCTATTAAAACCTCTGGTGCTTCCAGGGGTTCATGTTTTTGCCCTGTTCATGATTCGTTTATTACTGGATTTATTAGAATAATCATTGTCATATGCATCTTTAAAATTAGGCAAACGGGATAATCCGTCTTCAAAATGGCCTTACAATTGGTGTGAAACATGTCAACCAAAAATATGTAAATAATCTGTAAAAATTATTTGCCTATATTTTTTTCACGTATCTTTTGCATGTATGTATTGTATTAATTTTTCTTGAATTTCATATTAAGGTTCGTCTCGTGTTTGATAATTGTCAAATGAGTAGAAATATTCTACTTTGAAAGTGAAGAGATAGTCTTCATTCTACAAATTGTTCTCCTTTCCGAATTTGTTTTTCATTGATTAAGAGTCTAAATCCAGATTTTGTGCATAGTGTATGTTGCTTGTTTCTTTTTTCCTTGTGTTATGTCCCATGGTCAATTAAGTCTAATTATTTTCTATTGTGTCATAAAAATCGTAAATTTAGCAAATAGTACTAATATCTGAAAGAATATGCTAATTTAAGTGACTCTTTATTATATATTTTAAAACAACCAGCAGGCCTGTAGAAAGCAATTTCATTGGAGGGGGGATCTTACAAATAATCCTTGACAAGCAAGCAAATGGTTATCAGACATTATTATTCAAGGGTTAAAGTAGGAAGTTAATTTTGTTCAGGTCTTATGTTGCAAGAGAAGCCCTTTTAATGGTTGTGTCATTTAAGATTACAAGGGTCTTCAGCAAATCACTTGTTATCATGCTCTTATGTCTTCAGCGAAATTTATTATTGTAAGGTTTCTTTTTTCTTATTATTAGGTCCTCCCTCACCAGGGGAAAAACCTTCAATTATTCTACCGTTTCTTTTCAATTATTTTTTTTTTCTAACATGTTTTCAAGATTTTTCATCAACAGCTCAATCGATTTTATTAATATTTTCAGGCAAAGTATAACGCCAATTTACCTTTCTGACTTTATTTTTTTAAATCAATTACGTTTGATTGCAAAATTAAAAAAATAACTTTAAATTTGTTGGCGAATCTCCTTCAAAGCTGCTGAAGATAAAGGTTTGCAATTTCAGGATTAAATTATAATGATTCGTAAATGTTATAACTGCTGAAGATAAATGTTTACAATTTCAGGATTAAAATATAATATTTCGTAAATGTACATGTCTTTTTTACATTATCATATGACTTAAAATTATTGAAATGTGAAAATTTTATTTAAGATTTATCGATTTTTGACAGGCATGTTAAAGTCTCTTTCTAAAACATTGAAAGAAATATGAAGATAACGAATAGTAATCAAGCTCAAAAGTTCATTAAAACAATATAGATTTGGAGCAGAGCAAACATGGACTTTTAAAAACATCAGAGGGGAGATCAAGTGAGGTAAAATGTACCTTGCTTAGCGACAGCCACCCTTATTGAACCGACGCAGATATTCAGAACTTTTTTTATTTCTTAGCCGATTTCAAAACAAAATTATACTGTCAAATAGATCTTAACGGGACCTTTCTAACAGTATATAAGGTTTTATTGCAATTGCACTAATATAGAAATTTTTTTTTTAAACTTCTTATTTGAAATACACAATGTAATAATACAAACATAAGCAAATAAAATGAACATGATGTTGTCATTGTAGTATTCATTTTTGTGAGAGAAAGAGAGTGGTTGAGTGAAAAAGGAAAGAATGGTTGGAGACAGAAAAAAGGAGGGAGTATAGCTGATTAAAAACAGAGTTCATTTATGTTTAGTTTGAAGTAAAGAGGACCATTTTTTTCCAGAAAGTGTCAACTGCATTTATTTTATTGCATTCCATAGCTGTGTATTTCAATGACTAAAGAATTTTGAAGTCATTTAGAAAACCATGGATAGAGAGACTAAGATTTTGACAATGAACTCTGTTCATGAAATGCTTAATAGACAAAAGCAAAATATTCAGCATTAACGGTCGCAAAAACCAAATTAGAAGAAGGTTATTCCCTTATCAACGAGAATGAAAGCTTTTCATTGTAACGTCATAGAACTTTACAAAAACACAACGCTCTTTGACGCATTTCATATAACAAAACTCAACAAAATAATACGTGAACATCAAACAAAATGCAACGATTGCATTAGAAAGGGAACAAGTATCTTCTAATTTGGTGTTTGCGACCTTAAATGCTGATCTAACGGTCGCAAACATCCGTTTCCTCGGCTTCGCTTACGCGTTGCCGGTAAATCTCAGTTTGTGACCGTTAAATCAGCATTAATGGTCGCAAAAACCAAATGAGAAGATAATTATTCCATAATTTAAAGCTTGTATTACTTATATCTTCAAATATGAAGGTTTTACAATTCAAATTTAATAAAATGTCTTTGGAGTAACACATTCTAAAAAAAAAACTTGCTGTACTTTTGAACACTGTCAAATTAATTGATATATAGTTTCTTTCTCTGCTTCGCAAAATGTACATAGATTAGGGTTTAATTTACATATTTTACACATAAGACTATTGATAGTTAATATACAGTGATTGATTCTACATTGGTGCCATTGTAATTTACTGTTTTGGATTGTTAAAAAATGTAGATAATAAATTGCTTTCCAGTGTGTATCGGTCAAGTGGAAGAAATTTTTCAATTTTCCCATACCTACAGGTTTGGAATTACTTTTTTATGAATGATCTCATTTCTACAAAAGTTATAACTTTTTAAGTCCGCCAGTATTGCTTGTCATATGCCTGTAATAGTTGAATGGTTGATTCGAATATCAAAACTTTGTTGAAGGTTGCCTAATGATAAGTTACTATTCCTAATGAAGTTATTATTCTTATCTAAATGACCATATACGTATTTTATTCCCTTTATATACCCTGATTTGTAGAATATTGTTTGATTTCAATTTTGAAATTGTTGTTCTCCAATAAGGATTGGTAGGCCTATTCCTGCCAATTTCTTATATCTATTTTTTCTAAAATTTCCTGGAAAGCTTTCAAAACATATCTCCAAAAATTATTTTGCACATTCTCCCATTCTCTGAATTTGACACATAATCTGATCCTGTATTTAAAAGTGTATTCATGTCAACATCATTTTCCAATAAAATTTTCCACTTGGGGTTATTGTTATGAATTATTCTTCTTATCCATGTAGATTTTAAAGCTGTTATATAAGAAGCAATGTCAACCATTTTAATCCTCCCTGTGCATACTTCTGAGTTACAGCTTTTCTTTTTATTTTGTCTACATTTGATTTCCATTAAAAACTAAAAATTGACTTGTTTAGATCTTTCACAACATATAGCTGTGAATAAATAAATTATTAAGCTGTGATATAAGTAGTAATTTTATCAATGTAATTCTTCCAAAAGCAGTTTTCTTTCTTTTTCATCGCTTAATGACGAACTTTACGTATTTTAACCATTTTTTGGTCATAGTTCAATTTAGTAATCTTTACTAAGTCAACATCATAATAAATTCCTAAAAGTTTGCTGTCCATTGAAATTTAAATTCAGGACAGAGTCTACCAACAGAATAATTCTTACTTCCAATCCAAACATTTTGGGTTTTTGATTGATTGATTGATTTTGAGACCTGACATTTTATAAAATTCTTCTGATTCTAGTATTGTAGCCTTTAAGGGTTTTTCAGACTCATCAAGGATTATCATTGTGTCATCTGCATATTGTGACATTAAGTACTCTTTGTCATTTATTAATTATTTTAAATCTTTGAAATTCTTATTATTTCTGATTCTAATATATAGTATTCAGCACATAAGAGAAATATGTATGGAGAAATCGGATCATCTTTGCAATAGTCCCGCCCTAACTAAAAAAAGTTGGATAAAAGTTGGGTAAAATTCCTGCCTGAGACACACATGGATTGATATTATTTTGAATTTTTTTATCCAGTAACAAAAAACATGGTCCAAAATTTTAAAAATATATATAAAATATAATGTTTCCTGAATGAGTCCATGATACAGAATCAAGACTTTTACAAAAACTAACATGACTGAAATTCCAGGAATATCATGTAATTCTGGTATATCAAATTATATACAAGACGTGTGTACTCGCCCATGTATCTCCCCGATGTAAAATCTGTCTAATCCGAATTTACTATTTTGGTTAAAACTTGTTTTAATCTGTGTGTTATACATCCTGATCCATCTTAATATTCTTTTCTTTATCTTCCCCCAAATGCTAACATTGATGATTTACAGCTTGCTTATTTCTAAACGAATTTTGCTAAAAATTCAAAGAATACTGTGAAATTATAAATTTTCGTGATGGTTAATCTTTCGTTGTTTTCGTGGTATGAAGAGACCCGCGAATTCATGTCCTCAATGAAATGTAATATTGTAAATAAATAACCACTTCTACATCCACGAAAATAAGTATTTGCAAACCATTATTTTTTTTTC